CTGATCTTGTTTTTGTCTGATAATGTTCTTATTTTCTTATTCCATAGCAGAGATGCTTGATTTTATAATATAGTGTATAACTTATCTAATGTCTTCCATCTTAATTCTTGAACCATTTTGTTCGGCCACTCATTAGCCCCTGATACTAAACCATATAGTTACCATATTTTTTGGCATCCACTTCCTCACGAGAAGGGAATACATAAGAAATAATTAGATGGTTAAATCAATATACTTTTATACTTTTTCGTTCTAAATCTAGAAGTGATACTTGTTAAATAAAAACATTTGTTTATCACTCCCTTTGGTTATTCTACTTCCGCATCTTTATGTAATCATGCAGTGAGTTCTTTGATTTATTGTTAGGTACTTTATTCGCCTATTTGCAGCAGCTTTTCATTTCTAGTGCCCACGACTTCTTTTAAACATTCAGTCTGCAGTTGATAGAGTCTGCCTTACCGTTATACGGCGCACTCGGCCACAAACACCTGACATCATACGCACGACAAATGGTGATTGTGTGCCTGATTGCTTTCTCGAAAGAACTATCGCCAACTCTCTCTCCGTCAGTCCTCACCGCGACACGCCTGTGCCTCATCAAATTGACCCCGGCTGTACTTCCCCTAACGAACGGACCTCTGAGATCACTTCCTCCAGCTCCTCTCCCGGAACCCTTTCTGGTGACATAAGTAGCAATCGCCTTCTGCTAAGCTTGGCCCCTGGTGACTCAAGCAGTTCATCATCATCTACAACCGCCACAACAACGACTAGTGATGATGTCAACATTACGCCGGACCGACGAATGGGAGAAGAGGTTCTTGATCGCTCTGGGGCACAAGACACCTTAGTCTCTTCGTTGGGAAACAATAATATCACAACACCAACTTTTCGTCCTTGCAGAGAGCAGGTGGGATTTATAATCACCAATTATTTTCATAATTTAAAAAAAAACGTCTCACCCTTTCCATTAACCCTCATTTAGTTCCTCTCCGAGCCTATGTCTTTGGCAGAAAATGTATACTTGCGAACTTCAATTATACTTTGTTTTGTCATTTTTTGTTTAACACCAATTTATTCAACTCTCTTTGTACCCGAAGTTTACTTTGTCTATTATTTACTTGGCAGTTTGCCTTTATTGCACCCTTACAGGTTCTCGCTGTCCTAAGAACCATGTTTCCTAAGTGAATTTTATTTAGGCTCTGTTAGCCCATTTTAGTGCAGTATATAATTGGAAGCTTTACTGACTAAACTAAGCCCAGGACCGAATGTCACCAAAATAATCTTAACATGACTATGTATTTTCACTGTTGCATGTTAAGATGAATGGATCTTATCGTTAGACGTACGAATTATATATTTGCTAGCGATGGTTTTCTGAACTTTTTAGACTAATCTCCCTCTAAATAGACCAACTTTTAAAACCATCATACTGTAATAAAACTGAAAATATTGATTCCTAATATGTAAATGCGTTGAGCAAAAGTGAAATTGAGCTTAAGATTGACTGCACATTCAATTTTGTTAAATCGTAGATATGAAGACCAAGATGGCGTAGCCTTCCTTTACCTTTATGCTGTTGGTTCGACCTTGTATTCGCAACTTGGTTGGAGCCTCAGAGAGACCTTGTGGAACGCACCTGGTCCCGTGTCCTCTGCCACAGTCTTTGTGATTTCCAGCATTGGACCATTGGCTAGATACATTACCAAAAATTTCACAGGCATCGTAAGCACAGTTACAACTTATCAAAGTAACATGTGAAGGCAATCCCCTTGACCAATTTTCTGTTCAACCTCTGTTGCATCACTCCTCGCCCCTGTTTTTTGTTCTACCCTCTAGTGCCGCATCTCTTTCTCTCAGCCTCACTTCATATGGCCCATCCACGTATTCACACAATTCTGTGCTCTCGTTTCCTTCAATTTCACCTAAGAGTGTGTCACTACAAGTGGGTTTAGTCAAGCGTAATCATCTCCACCACTGGTACCAGATGCCGTTTGCAGGGCTTCTGGCCTAAATTCTACCCCTCATTTTAATAACCCACTCGTAAATTGTCCTCTGCTATACACCAGAATCACTGCTTGGCTGTCTGAAATCTGGCTGCCCAAGAGCTTTCAATTCCCGTCCTCGATTACGCCATAGTGCCTGGGAATCTTCCTATTCCAAGGCTTCGATCCCATGACTCGATTGTCCTCTCCCTCATCCCCACCCACATTGTGACTCATTCATTGGGGCCCTGTGTTCGGCTCAAGTCATAACCGCTGGTGTGAGAATTCACCGCTTTTTTTTCCTTTGAATCGTGTAAAGCACACTCCTCTCGTCTCTCAAGTTGGCATTCCCATCTAATCCTAGGGTACTGGGATGATGTCTCTGTGTGTGTTTTGGCTGGCATCACCCATGGTCAAGCATGTCACAAGTCATCTCCCCTTCAGACACATATACGAAAAATACACACAACACCTATGCGCACACACTGGTGATCTATATCTGGTCCACCTATACCCTTAGACTTTAATTGCATATCCTACCTCTTACAGTGCACGCCCTTTGGTAAATTTGTGGCCGAATCCACTTTTGAC